TTCTGCTGATCGAGGAAAAAATCATGCACTGCGATTTTCTTTCCCTTGTGGTCTCCAAAGCAGTATCTTTTTATTAGATTAATTCTACTGACATTAAACAAGTAGCTGCTTGTTTCCAAATCTTTAAAAGGTTAAGTCACATTTAATTCTAAGTGTTTACATGCTCATAGCTGAGCCTTCAGAACCTTTAACAAGAGACCTTTTTTAGGACTTGGTTTTTGCTCAGACAAAATATGGAAGTGAATATACTACAGTCCTACTATTGAACGCTCTCCCATCAGAATAAAACATGATACAACACTGATTCCCTTTCTTTATATGAAGACAAATTCAGTAAAATTAAAAACAGTGCTTAAATATAAGGAAAGATAAACCAAATTATTCTAATGGAAGAGTGGTATATACGTAGGGAACACAGGTTATGCCAGACCTCCAAACCATGTTATGAGCCATTTTTTCAGTAATCTCTGTACTAAGAAAATATGACTAAAACTATATAAATGTTTAGACCATTACACAGGGATTCAGAAGTGTACTTTGTATGTGCAATACATCCACTCCTGTTACTTGTAATAAGCTACTTCCAAGCTTTGCACATCTGGTTTGTGCCCATGCTGTCCAGAAGCTCCTGATTCTCTTTTCTCCTTTTGTACCTCCCAGACTTGCCTGCTTAACAGTAATAATAGAAAATATTACTGTATTTTCTGGCTTATAAGACTACTTTTTTGTCCTGAAAAACATGCCTCCAAGTGGGGGGGGGGTCGTCTTATACACCGGGTGCACTTCAGTTGAGATAGACATAGCTGCCCATAGTGGCCTTCCGATGCTCGCCCGGTGCCCATAGTAGCCTCCCGATGCCTGCCCACCTCATTCTACATACCGTCCAGTATCGCGTGGTATCCAGCGCGGCTGCAGCAAGCATCAGCAGTGAGACAGGAGTGCCAGCCTTTTTGACATGACCGGCCTGTTCTGCTTGGCAGGAAGCAGCAGCGCTCCAGCCCGCCCCTTGTCTAAGCAGAGCTCACACATGCGCACTTGCACACAACAGGTCACAGGGAGATGCAGAGGTGGACCGGAGCGCGCTGCAGTCGTGCTGCGGATGTACAATGGTGACAATGAATAGCACCTTTTATTTGGTGTGTGGAAGGTGTGCGGAAGAGGGAGTAGTCTTATACGGCGAGTATATAACAAACTCTATATTTTGAGTGGAAATGTTGGGGGGTCATCTTATACGCCCAGTCGTCTTATATGCCGGCAAATGGTACTTGTATAATTTTAAAACAATATGCCCTACTTTGAGAGAGAGCTGCTGTTTAAGCGTTAAGGGTGATTTGTGCAATGTCCTTCTTGTTGTGTAAGGAACATGGACACTAACTGACCCGCCGTAGAGCCAGCCTCTCCTTCTCTTTGGTTTGAAGTATTCAATGCTACAGAGTGCAGAGAGAATGCAAGTTGCATGATTTGTTCAGTTAATAACATTTTAAAGCAGTGAGCTTTAAATAAAGTTCTGCTTTGTGTTGGGGAAAAAGGAGGAACCTGAGGTTTTTTGGGATCTTGTGAGTTAGTGCTTAGGTGGCGGAGGCATTTTGAGGTTTGTACTGTATTCCTGAGTGGCTGAAGAACAGGACATATATTAAATATAAGCTTATTTGGATTGGTGTCTTCGTTCTGCTCACATTTTTAGGCTTTCTTCTTTAGTGCCTCATTACAATTCTTGATGTTCTTTCAGACTGTTGTCTCTTTGCAGTGTGCTTTATACACAGTCTTTCCTTCTGTACTAAAAGCAGCCTGATATTGTTAATCAGCAAGCTCTGTTGATGCTGATATGGCTGATGAAAATCAAGATACAGCATTGTTCATTTAATGGATGGCCAGGCCACGAGTTCATCAATAGGAAGGAAATGTTTGTTGCATTCTTGAAGAAGCAGCCTGTCCACACTGTACAGAGATTCAACTTTCCTTCTCTTTTTTTCTCTCTCTTTTTCATTCTTTCCCCCCTCTATCACTAGATAGTGGTACTGTATATTTTTGTTCTCATTTTTTTTCCATTACAGGATCTGCTCCTGTGCACCCTAGTACTTTCTTGTTCTTTGCAGATCTGTGCACTTGATGGGTGATCACATATCCTGAAGAGGGAATTCTGCTGGTCAGTCTCTAACCCTTCATACCCCATGGACAGGTAGAAAACAAGGAAGGGAGGAGAGTGTTAAGTAGGTAGGAAGAGGGAGGGGCAGATAGGCAAAAGAGGAGTGAGACATCAAAAACAATACTAGATGTGTGTGGACAGGTGGTATTGGGATAACCCCTGGAATCTCAAAAATTCCAGCAACAAATACACTCCCTATGTGTGGATGCTAATATTGGGGTGATCTTGTCTGCAACAAAAAACACCACAATAACCCAGAAGAACTCCAGAATGACCGGAGGCAACACAACTGTGTTAATAAGCTTGGACAGTTATTTTTTCATGTGTCTCCTTTCTCTTCACTCATGTTTGTTATGTGGTTCAGCAGATGTCACAAAACCACTCTGAAAAGACTTTTGGACTTCATGTGTTCTATAGGATACACACGTGACATGAACCCAAGTTGTATTTCATTTGTGGGACTGTTTAATAAAATACTGCCCACTGTTTAATACAATTTATTGCATAGTAATTTGTCAACGTTTGGACAACATTCAGTTCATAGTACAGTGGGGTCTCGACTTACGAACGGCTCGACATACAAACGTTTCGACTTACGAACCGCTCTCATAGGAATATATGGACTCAACTTACAAACTTAGATTCGAGTTACGAACTCTTTTTTTCCTTTTTTTTAAAGCTAAGTCATCTTATGTGAGTGTGTTTAGTCGTTTAGTCGTGTCCGACTCTTCGTGACCCCATGGACCAGAGCACGCCAGGCCCTCCTGTCTTCCACTGCCTCCCGGAGTTGTGTCAGGTTCATGTTGGTTGCTTCGCAGACACTGTCCAGCCATCTCATCCTCGGTCGTCCCCTTCTCCTCTTGCCATCACACCTTCCTAACATCAAGGTTTTTTCCAAGGACTCTTTTCTTCTCATGAGATGGCCAAAGTACTGGAGCCTCAGCTTCAGGATCTGTCCTTCAAGTGAGCATTCAGGGTTGATTTCCTTTAGAACTGATAGGTTTGTTCTCATTGCAGTCCAGGGGATTCTCAAGAGCCGCCTACTCCCTATGTGTGGATGCTAATATTGGGGTGATCTTGTCTGCAACAAAAAACACCACAATAACCCAGAAGAACTCCAGAATGACCGGAGGCAACACAACTGTGTTAATAAGCTTGGACAGTTATCTTTTCATGTGTCTCCTTTCTCTTCACTCATGTTTGTTATGTGGTTCAGCAGATGTCACAAAACCACTCTGAAAAGACTTTTGGACTTCATGTGTTCTATAGGATACACACGTGACATGAACCCAAGTTGTATTTCATTTGTGGGACTGTTTAATAAAATACTGCCCACTGTTTAATACAATTTATTGCATAGTAATTTGTCAACGTTTGGACAACATTCAGTTCATAGTACAGTGGGGTCTCGACTTACGAACGGCTCGACATACGAACGTTTCGACTTACGAACCGCTCTCATAGGAATATATGGACTCAACTTACAAACTTAGATTCGAGTTACGAACTCTTTTTTTCCTTTTTTTTAAAGCTAAGTCATCTTAGGTTAGAAGGAAAAAAGAAAAAAATATCCCCCTCTAGTGGAAGAAGGTGGAATAGCAGCTTCCCATTAGTTTCTATGGACGAAAAGAGCAGATACGGATTAAATGGTTTTCAATGCATTCCTATGGGAAATGCAGATTCGACCTAAGAACTCTTCGACCTGAGAACTGCCTTCCAATACGGATTAAGTTCTTAAGTTGAGACCCCACTGTAGAAGAACAGAGACCAAGTGGAGTGGATGTGTGGTGCAGTTCCAATATGCTGTTTGTGGTGTTCTGGGAACTTAGTTCCAAAATAGGTATCTCCCCACCCACCCACTTCTGCTCTAATCTGACAAGTGTCACAAAGGTGGAAGCACAGAAAATGACCTCAGTGGAAAGGAAAGTGATATTACTTGACCTTGTATTTGTGGCACTTGGCCATTTTTGTGCCTGGACCTGATGTTTTGATAGAAGATAAGATTCACATTGCCTTTAGTTGTGAATCACACATCCAGTATTTCACATATCCCTAAATAACTTTATAACTGCATTATAATTTTTATATTTTTGTTATGTAGAACAATGCACAGTCAAAACAGAGATCTGTTTGCCAACCTGGATTCAGAAAAAGAAATACTCCGGCTATGTGTAACTTTGAATGTTAAATTCATTTAAATTGTAGCACCATTGTAACCATAGGAATAAAATGAAGTATGTTTCTGCTGTCATGATCATGAATACATTTACTTGTAAATGCAAGAGATTAGCAAAATCAATATCCAGGGGTGGGGGTGGTTTTTAAAACATTTTTAAACACACTTTGCAGATATTTTGTCTGCAATTATCAAATTTAAGTATCAACCTCATTATGTCCATTGCTGCTAAATAGATCACAACTGCAAAGTTAAGCACAATAGAAGAGTGATGATTTTTCCAAGATATTTTGAATTCTAGGATGAATTAGTGTTTTTTCCCCAACTGTTTATATCAGCATTTGTTAAAATGAAATCATTATTTTCAACTACCATTAACACTGAGGAGGTCCTTGAGAATGTGTACAAGAAGTGGGATGTTTTTGTGTGTGGTCTTCTTGAGTTACAACTAGATCATGGTGATGTGAGTTTTAAGAAATATATTTTTTTAGAAATCTGCATTTACACTCAGTTTTAGAATACCCTATGTGGCAATTTTCTCTTTCATTTTCTTTGCTTGGAGATGCTAAAAGATGTAGTACAGTGAGATAAGGGATTAGTTGAGTGAGTCATATCCTTTTAAAACTGTGAAGCAACGGTATTCACACACTCTTTGGTTTCCTCTTACAGTCACTCCCCGTAGCTGCAATTCAGAGCAGCGAGCAATGTGCTAAGAAGCCCTTGCCATTAGTTGGATATAAAAAGTGCCGTTGGTTGGTAGTCCTCTTATATGACTGATTTTGAATGCTGATGGATATATATGAAACCAAAGATTAGTACTTGCTTCTCCAAACTGAAAACAAGGCAAATGCTGACATTTGGCCCCAATCAGGTAATCTTCCTCCCTCCATCCTCCCTCCCTCCCTCCCTCTCTCTCCACCCCCACTCTCTTTCTCCCCTCCAACCCAAGTTTTACGTGATCTCAACAACTTTGACCCAAGACTGTAAATTTGTAGAATAATTTAACATGATGTATATATTCTTGATTTTATCTAAGTAGAGAGGGATTTCACCTTAAAGACTGCATTTGTGAAAATACATCTGAGCTGCAGATTAATACATTCCTGGTCATCAAGTCTGTAAAGGGACCTTATGCAGCACCTGTCTTCTATATGTTATGCATTGTTTAATGTACTGTATAGGATAAGATGTATAGATGGAATATTAATTTAAATTCCTTTACTGGAAGTTGTAAGAATTCTTGTACAGCTGTAATGATAAAAGTTGTAAAAGTGTTACTCTTTCTCGGTTCAGAGAATCTGAGTTCAATATACTGGACATAATTTTTAAATGAATCAGGACTGCGGTTTGTAGTCCTGTTTGTTTATATCCCTTTGAATTTAATGGAGCTTTCTCTGAGTTGTTATAACAAGATTGCACTGTGTCTATATACAAAGTTAATGGTAGATATATGCATTTAAGATTATAAACCAACAAAGGACTTCTGATAAACGCTGCAACAAAACAAACTTCTGTTATTACATTGGTTGTCCCAAGTCAAAATATGTAATGCTACTGTGGTATATACAAATTTGTTTCTATAATTAGCAGTGTGGGAGTTCATGTTGTTTTAGGATTATGCAAACATAGTTGCTGGATGTTTTCAGAATGTTACTGGCGTGACTGCTGGAACTATGGCTGAAGTTTTTGTTTTGTGAATTTAGAATACAGTAGCTTTGCTAGAAGCCAGGTCTTTTGCTGAAAACATGCTTACAAAAACAGATATGACTTAGAGTAAATTTGGAGGATGTGGACAGAAAGAAAGAGAAAGAGAGAGAGAGAAGGTCTTTAAAATGTTTTAAGATTTATTTATAGATTTAGCATGCCTTTAAGATGTTTTAAGATTTATTTATAGATTTAGCACTGACAAAGTAATCATCTTTTTCTAGACGCTGGAAGAGATTTATCAGTTGTGAACTACTGCTTTTACCAAAGCAAAAGAAAACAGTTCCAAACAACTGGCCAATGGAGAACATTTTGGACAAATTTTATAAGTTTTTCAATAATCTAGGAACTCATATTTTAAATAGTGGGAACTGAATTATCTCATGAGATATGAATAATGAGATTTAAATAATAGAATATGTAATAGATAATAGAAGATGTAATAAAATATATTTGTCTTATTTTCCCCCCTTTGTGTTAATGATTATGACATTCTTGGACACTTTGTTATATAAGAGTACTGCAGAAGTCCTAACTATCTCAGTCAGCAAAACTGTCAGAAACAATTACGTTCTTGGAACACCTCTATTAAGGAAGCACCCAGTTCAAAGATTTTAAGCAGATAATTGTTTAAATTTAGTATAAGATTTCTATATAGAATTTGCCAATGCTTTTCTGAGGTAGTCTGAATTTATAATCTTTTCAATATGAGTAATCTGAGTTTGAGTCCTTGAAAATATCTGGCTTTCATGCAGTTTACTGGGATGTTAATGGTGTTAGGTTCTAATGCCTATCAGAATCCTCTTGATTTGGCCCAATAGGAAAAAAATGCTATGAGGATGCTAACTGCTGAATCTGGAGTCTGCTTGTAGATAGTTTGTAATTATTGCATCTGAATATGGGCCTCCTCATATATAACTGCAGTAGTACAGGAGTTGTCTTTGAATTGCTTTGTTTTACCCCACTGGGAAAGCGTGGAACCAGATGGATGGGAATAGTAATTCAGAACTTTATTTCACCTACCCAAGAGGATGTGGGTACAGCCCAGTTGAATTGCTTTTGCACCCACAGATCCACTAGTTTCTAAACAACACTGAGATGTGGGATAAAGCAGAAAATGTATTTGGTTTCTGTCATAGAATTGTTGCATGATGGAGCTGGAATGGGCCAATCCGTTGTTAAAGTATATCTCACAGTAGTAGTATACTTTATTACGGTCAAAGACCAGTAAAACCAAATCAATATAAAATAGATACGTACATATAATTATTGTTTAGTAAAGTCGAGCAGGGTAATAAAATTCCATTAAAACATGATAAAACAACTCCTTCTTTCCAATTAATAACAAAAGTATAAAGTATATCTCACAGATAGCTGTCTACCTTTCTCTTGAATGTCTCCATTGTAGGGGAGTTCCCTCCCTCCTGTCAGGATTTGGGCTGAAAATTCAAATTCTTTATTGTTGCACAAAGGGCAGTATTCAATTTCCTACTTGCACAAATAAAATTGCATGCATAGACACCCAGATAGTGTGCTAGGGAAGGAATGTGGTACACAGCCAGGTGTGCAAGTATTTGCACAGTAGATTGTGCAACAATCACATGCCTGTGAACCACTAGTGCAAATGTGCTAATAGAAATATGTGCTACAAAACAAAACACAATTAGACTTTGCTAGTTCACAGTTTTCTCCTTTGGAGCGAGACCATGGTAGCTTTAACTCAATCTAAATGTGCTAGGGAAGGAATGTGGTACACAGCCAGGTGTGCAAGTATTTGCACAGTAGATTGTGCAACAATCACATGCCTGTGAACCACTAGTGCAAATGTGCTAATAGAAATATGTGCTACAAAACAAAACACAATTAGACTTTGCTAGTTCACAGTTTTCTCCTTTGGAGCGAGACCATGGTAGCTTTAACTCAATCTGGGTAAATGCATTAAAGTAAATGCAAAAGCAAACTAGATGAAAATTCTTTGGTAGAGCAGAGCAAAAACATGGGTTGCATTTTGGTTCCAATAGCTGAACTCCTGTTGCCAGAAGTTAAACTACAGAAATCAATTCTTTAAGTCCTGAGGTTCCCATGGGATTCTTTTCATCATGGGATAGCAGTTAGGGGTGCTGGATTGGTAGAGTGCTAAAGATCAACACTGAGATAATTTTATTGGCAGTGGCAATTTTAGGAAGTTAAAAACCTGCCCATCACATGCCCCCCCGTGACTTCCTCACAACAAAATGAATTCCATAGGAGCTGCAGGTCATCAGATGTGGGGATTAGATTTTTTTTTATTGCAGTGGCTAATGACCTCATCATTCTTATGCATACAGGACAGGATTCCCACCAGTATTTTTTCAGTTTATTGGCACAACTGTGCATCAAGCTGGAATGTATTTTGCAGAACTATTCAGACTTTCTTTTGCTTTCTCTTCATAATTTAAACAAACAAGTAAACTTATGATGTTGATTAAAACACTGATAAGCGTGTTACAATTGCAATTTTTATGTATTGTTCAAACAAGTAAACTTATGATGTTGATTAAAAGGCTGGTAAGTACAGCCAGGTTAGCTAAGAGAGGGAAATGTTAATGCTGTTCTGCTAATTTGTTTGTTTCCTTTGGGATCACAAATACATCATGAAGGAAACAACTGTAAAACTGAGAATGTATGGCTCTGCCTTAAAGCTTCCAGTCAGCACAAACATCATGCATTCAAAACAGATATTCAAAGGACTGCATACAAGGTCATGTATAATTTATCCTGGTGAGTTCAGAATGGTTCACCTCTTATTCATAATTTCAGCATTTAAAACATGTATTAGAGTGGTCTGTGACAATGCCTTACCAAACTGGAAATAAATACTGTAGTAAATGCAACTTTGTTCACCTATGTTGCTCCTTCTTTTCACACAGGATCACCTTTGCAATAAAGTGCTGCTTAACCTAGATTTAAAGCCAATACCATTGCACTTCTAGCAGTTTTACATTGCAAAGGAAATACGTGTAGTATGGTGCACAAATTACACAAAAGCTCAAAGCAGTTGCTAAACATCAGCTGTAACGCTAGTACCGCATTACTAAGTACAACTTTGTTACTTTGAGGACTTTTGTCCAGCCGTGGATGGTGTCCCACAGGCAACATGTAGCTTGCATATCCCCACCCCCACCCCCAGAAAAATGCAGACTTGGATCATTAATCTTATCTTCAAAAGCATCTGAAGGGTTGTGGTGTTACAATTGCAATTTTTATGTATTGTTGGGAGACCTCTGTGTTTTGAAGCAGGGATGGGATAACCATATCTTCTTTTGAAAAAAGGCCTTTTGAGAAAACAGGCTCACATTGATTAAAATTAATTAAAAGTGGCAGATCATACTCCTCAGGGCAGTAGTTGTAATAGGGAGGGGACATTTCTTCCCTTCCCTTGTTTTAGGATACCTCTCCAAAGGATGGAGGAGAGTAAAAATGGCCTGTAAGCCGCAGACTTTGTCTACCTTTGTTCTACAATCAGATTTGTGTTCATTCATGCTGAACTGCTGCTGAGAATGTTGAGATTTAAACAGCACCTGATGTTGTGGTGTTGCGATTTGACAAAGTTTTAATGAAAGTTCAGCTGTTAATATGGATTGTGCTTTTGGGGCCTTGAAGGCCAGGAGTTTCATTATATAATATTGACAAGGTTTGTGTGGTTATAAGAGGATTGCAGTGCCTCTTTTGCTTCTTTTTCAGTTTCCTGTGAAATATAGGGCCTTGCATCTTATGGCTGCTACCTATTATTGTTCTGTTATTTTGCTTCCACAGAAGAGCTTATCAAGCCATTTGATAAATTGCATATTGTGATTTTTGTAGAAAACAACTGAAAAGAGTAGCAGGATGCAATACAGATTTAATGAGGATCAGGACACATTAGAAGAGAAAACGTCCTATGTGTGAATATTCAGAGGCTAGAAAGAACAAGGAATGTCACAATAAACAGAGGTCTAATTTTTCCCTCGTGATATTCAGGGCGTCTGGAACAGACTTCCGACAATGAAATTTATAGCAGTTGTAAGGAATTGTTGCATAAACCTTATATATAAAAAGCTGTTAGTGAGCTGTGGGCAGGAGCGTTGGTAGCATTGTCATTCATTTACCACAGCTCTGTGCAGAATAAAATTTCATTCCGCCTGAAGCAGAGCTCAAAGAAACCTCATTACAAAGTTTGACAATCTTTTATATAGTAGTAGAAAAATGTACCTTTCTAACCTGTACCTCCATTTAATTCTAAACAAGGAGTAGGGGTCAGAACTCCCTTGTGGAAAACTTATGATACACGTTATGGATATACTGTATTTCAGAATGAAAGTTGTTCTTTAAATCAGCTTTATGCACAGAATTTAAAAAGTACAAAATTGAGTGATTATTCCTTTCTTAGGCAGATTGACAATAACAGCCAGAAATGATAGTTGAGATAATTTTATTTTAAGAGAGAGCTGAAAATCCGTAGTGGAATGAAACCTTAGTTGGAGCTTTGGAAGAATGGCCACCCTTTCCCACTTCCGTATATCAAGGTGTTGGTGTGGAAGTGGGGGCAGGAAAGGAACAAATCTGCTCATTCAGAGAACTGAGAGCGAAGTGAACAAGGTGGGAATTTGTTGAAGTAACTTTGAGGGCTTGAAGCCCTTTCTGGAATTCTGTTTTGAGATACTTGATCAGCTGCCTTGTAGAGGTATCTGCTATTCTCCCCCCCCCCCATTTTTGCTTTTTAAAATATTTGTACTTAAAATAAGTATTGCAAAAAAATAGCACAATCCTCTACAACAATCCTTCCCAACCTTGGGTCCCCAGATGTTCTTGGACTACAACTCCCAGAAACTCTGGCCAGTGCAACCAGAGGTGAAAGCTTCAGGGCATTTTAGTCCAAGAACACTTGGAAACCCAAGTTTGGGAGCCACTGCTCCAGAAGTTGGATTCTTCAGCACCCCCACTGAAATATTTTGTGACTCAAGAAAACATAGATTGCAATTGGTAAATAAATGCTGATATGGGGGTGGGGGGGGTGGGAAAGTATTCCTAACACTGATACAGTAATTGCAGTTCATATTTGTAGGATCAAAGCCTGTGGCAGTTTTTATATTTTGTATCTCATTTCTGTATTTGGTTACAAAAGAGATAAATAAGAGTATAGCAGCTGTGGGGAGTGGAGTGCCTGTTGGGGGCGGGAGGTCTGTCTTCATGGCCTAGTCTGGCTCAGGCCACGTTGTCACGTTCCCAGGGGTTTCAAGAGCAAAGTCCGATAAGCCAGTCCAATATCAGAAGTTCAGAGGATGCAGAGCCGATACCAAAATGCCAAAGCCAAATCGCAAACCGTAAGCCGAGGTCAGGGTCCAAAGCCAAATCACACAACATAGTCCGGGGTCAGAGTCCAAAGCCAAGGGTCCAGAGAACAAGGTTCAAGGTAGTGAGGAGTGTGGATGCAAGCCAGAGATTTGACTTGTTGCTTCCGCAAGCTTCCCAACCATCTGGGAGCTGATTATATAGCAAAACAGTCATTGAACTGCTGGAAGCCTTTCATCCTGTCAGAACTCAGGACTAGCTGACCTGATGTTTCTGCGGGCAGCATTCAAACAAACCTCTGACTTTTGTGTCATAAGTCTTTGTCAAAGTCTAGCCCTCACCCTGGCTACTGGGGGAGGAGAATCTGGTGGCAATTCAGCTGTCTGTGCTTCTAATCGCCCAGCATTTTCCTCAGCTGTGGTTAACCCCTCAGGTTCCAGATCTTCGGCAGAACTCATGACACACGGACTAGTGCTGGGTCATATACCGGGGGTTGATGATCTCTGCTATATACAACATACAAGGGGGTGGGACAAAGGCCACAAGATGGCGCTCTTGTATGTTGTATATAGGGCTGCAACAAACCTCAGATATTGATCCTGCAGATATACAGATGGTCCTACTATAGAACAAAATTACAGCTTAAGAGCTTCATTGGAATACATTCCTTGAATACTCTTTGCTTGGAGTTCAGAAGAGGGTTATCAATGTGAATTTGTCATCTTGCTGCCTTAGTGGCAAGGATATTTAACTTCAGTCTGTGAAAAGGCAGACTGTCTGATTTCTGAGCGTATGTTAAAGATTTTAATCTTTATTATGTATTTTCATTTTTGCTTTTTAGAGAACAAATACTGCTGGCACAAGTAATGCAGAATTACCCCAGGTTGATCCCGGAATGTACCAGCTAGACGTTACATTAAAAAGAGGTCATAACTTAGCGGCTCGAGATAGGAGAGGTAAGAAAAATGCTGACAAAAATATTCTGTTTTTATAAACTATTGGAAGTGCTTTTTTTCTTTACAACTTATATATAGTATCTTTTGCAATATTGCACTTTATGCATTCTATTTGTACAAAGTTTTTCAGGATCAATTTTAGTCTGAATTGTGATTTCTAGTTGTATTCACTATACTAGACTGAAAATAATTTTAAGAATTAAGTTGGGAATTTGTCTCTAAATGTTACATAATATGCAGTTAGTGATTGATTAAAATCTAGTACAAAATGTTGGCAAGCTTGTATTAATTGAGTGGAAGTTCAAAAAACGGGGGACTTTGCAACTTAAGCAATAAAGATTGGCTGAAAAGAACATTCAGTTCAATTTGTAGATTGCATATTTGCCACTCAAGTAAATATCTTCTGTCTGCATAGATATATTGTGGCTCGTTAGTGGTATTTAATTAATTGATTACATATTGGTAAGCTGATTCTGGCTTATGGTGATCTTTTCCAGAATTCTCTATGTATAGAATACTCAGATTTGATTTGTGATTCCCTTTATCTGAGGGAGCTCTAGGGCTGTGTAACTTGCCCAAGACGACACAGACTGGCTCTTGAATGTCACAGTGGGACATTCAACTCCTAACTAGAAAGTGCTCCAATTCTGAGCTATCCAGCCAACAACTGGGAAAGGAGGAGATCTGTCTTATTTTCAGTCAGGAAATGCAGTCTATTCTTTCTTTGCTTAGTCCATGAAAATTTTTGACTATAAGTTGCATGTTGTGGTATATAAAGTAGTGACCCACTGTATTTTCTTTCCGTTTCGAAACACTGAAAATATATCCAACTATTTATGAAATGTTTAAAATTAAAATCACAGATTATTTTTATTTAACTTTTATAATTACATCCAGAGTTGAGTTAAACATAAAGCAAAACAAATCATAAATATAGTGAGAAACAAAGACAGTATATAATCAATAAAACAACCATGAATGCTGTTTTCATGGTTATTCATTCATTCAAAACGTTTATTCTGGTTGGAACTAACAACTGGATTTGGTACAAAGAATCTAGTGGCACCTTTAGGGTGAACAGATTTATTATAGTCCAGGTTTTCTTGGTCCATAGCCTACTTCCTTGCACATGAGAAGTGTTAGAAATTTAAAGTTCCGGGTTTAACCTGTAAACCCCTAAATGGCTTGGATCTAAGCTGTCTAAAAGACCACCTCTCCCTCCGTGAGCCTACCTGGGCATTAAGATCATAAGGGTTGGCCTTTCTCTTTGTCCCACCATCCTTGCAGGTGTGTTTGGTGGAAACATGGGTGAGAGTCTTATCTATTGCGGCTCCCACAGTCTGGAAACCCCTCCCACAGCGGCCTAGACAGACTGCATCTTTGCTATTCCTTTCTAAGCTGATTAAAACCTTTTAAACAGGTGTTCCTTTAAATCAGTGGTCCCTAGCCGTGGGCCTCCAGATGTTCTTGGCCTTCAACTCCTTGAAATCCTGGCCAGCAGAGGTGGTGGTGAAGGCTTATGGGAGTTGTAATCCAAGAACATCTGGAAGCCCAAGGTTGGGGAACCACTGCTTTAAATGACTGGATGACAAAGGGGCTTTTGAAAAATAAACTAACCTTAGAACTGCAGAGCTGAAAGGGACCCTTTGGATAATCAAGTCCAGCCCCCGTCAAGGAAGCATGGTGGGGAATTGAACTCCCAACCTCTGAGACCTAAACTACTGAGATATCCAGCAGTTTAAGGGATCATTTTATTCTGTATTTTACTTGTGTTTTTAATCTTGCTCTTACCATGAGTTTTAATATATTTTTTAATACTTTTCTCGTATTGTAATAATTTATTACTGTTTTTAAACTTTGTATCTTTTAATACTGTCAGCTGCCTTAGCTCCTTTGAAAAAAAGGCAGCATGTAAATATTTTAACTAACTAAATAAATGAGGATGCTGCTCCTGAGCAGGAATTCATAGCAGATTTAATACAGTCAGACTCAGGTTGAATAGATACTGGGGAAAGTCTAGCTTCCTACAAAAAGTCATTGTCCTTTTTCAGATAGTGTACATACTTGTGCCAATTCTTTACCAGCTGGGAATGGGTCATACTCATTCTGGACCTTTTCTCCCCTTTTTGCATTTGATTCTGCAGTAGTAGTCATGGAACACAGCTATTTCTTGCATATGCATTCCCTGCCATTCTACATTTATTTACACATATTTTAAATACGATGCCAACACAATAAATCTAGAACTTAAAAAATTACTTTGTTGGATGACAGTTTTGAGAATGTCCTAGCCAGAATGACTAGTGGGTGGGAGTTGCAGGAATTTTAATCTTCAGCCAAAAGCAGTTTCTCAAAGCTGAGGAAAATATACATACGCATATGTTCTGCCAACATTTCACTTTGTGCAAGTGATATTGACTCTGAGCCAGATTGTGTACTAGATTTTTAAGGGAGTTGTTTTCATATTCTTCTAATGTTCAGAATAATACATTCTCTCTTGAGGCATGTTTGTAGGGAAGTATGGATTCCCTTGGTTCATATTACCATGAAGTTAGCAATGCCTTACGATTGAGTACCTAAATGGAAGTGCTGTGAGAGATAGTATGGTAGTGTGGCAAGTTTGATAACTTGATATTTAATCACCTATTACATTTCACTCTGAGCACTCCTCTGAACATTGAAAAACCTATGCACCTTGTTTTGTATTTTACTTTATGCTCCCTGAATTTGTTATTAATTTGATCGTGATAGCTGTTGATTTTCTTGATGTCACAGCCATCCACCAACATTAGCTGTCATTATGTCAAGTTTTATATTAAGGACATCTTGGACAAAAGCTAGATAATCCCACTGGACTGGATTTCACTTGCTTCAGAGATGATGTTTTGGCGATTTAATGAGAAATAATTCAGTGTGATACTGTTGTCATCATAATAGGCTTAACACACTCTAAATCACTTTTATCTGTATTGAAGCAATAATAGCTATCTCAAATTGCCTCTCTGTTGATACACATTGGTGGAAATTGAAAGCATCAGTATATGAATTCTGAAAGATAATCCTGAGATCTTTTTATTATTTATCATAAAACAGGGCATGCCAAACTGTCCAGTAAATAAAAGCATTTGTGTGTTCTGAAACTTTTATGATGATAGCAGCACTTGCAAGTAAGCTTTGGATCTGGGTCATAAAGTAAAGTAATGCAGCTTTATGAGGCAGAGAAGTAGAGTGGGAAGTAGGTTTGAGGTAAAATCAAAAATTAATCCTGGGTCCTCTTAGCCAAATTTATAGTTATGGAGTTGTGTCTTCCTGTGTCCTGCTTGTTAACAACATGTCTCCTAAACACTGTAGCCTAAATCCATATTTTACTTTTAGCTACAGTAGACGTACTACAGTAGACTCATGGAATCAGTTGCTGAATGGTGTGGATCCTGTTGGTTCAATGGGTCTGCTATGGCGAGGGCCGTCACATAGATTCACACTTACGTTTAGTACATTTAATTATATAACACTCTTTGTGTGAATGGTGATTTCTGGAGAATGTATGTGGTCACAGATCTCTGCCTCAGAGGGCCTACTTTTTAAAGGTTCAAGGTAAAGAATACAGAGGAGGGGAGGGTGGACTGAGAAGACATTGCCAAGTGAGTGGGATTTACACTTTGTCTGATTCTCACCAGGAGGTGATCGGACCACAGCAAAGGAAAGATGATAAAATCCCCAACTTTTGGATCTTTTTTTTCCTCTCCCAATGAGGAAATTAGGTCCACAGTATGTCTAACTACTGTACTTGCCTTGCCTTGCCGTCGTGTTGTCCTGAGGTGTAATGGTGGGGAAGATGGTAGCTGTGATGCTGGCAGAGAAGTGGGAACAAAGGAATATACAGAAGGATTGGTAGCCAGCTCATCAAAGTATTAGGAGGAGATGAAAAGATGAGAAAAGGAGTAACTTGTAGACATACATGGTTTCAGTTTTAATATTGAAGCAGTTGGCAAAGTTTAGGGCAAAGAGTGAGGTGAGGTGTTGAGGCAGGTTTTAGTAGAATGTGAGAGTTAGACAATAACCACTGAGGAGTGCTTATGGTCAAATTAGACATTACAGATCACCCAACATTAGAAGCTGAAAACTGTTAGTGTTCCAGGGATCCCTGATAGAGCAATCATACCTGCAAATGGAGTCCATGTGCAAACTGTGAGAGGTGTAAAAATCTCATCTTCTGAACTCCCGTTTTAAAGACAGGTTACCTGTAATGCATAGTTTGTTCTTTTGTGTGGCTCAAGGTGCAGTAGTGCCTTCTAGCTAAATACAAGAATGAGGAGGTGAAGGAAAGCATGCATTATAGTAAACAGAGTTGTACAACTGTTTTGCTCTCTTTTGTAGCTGTTGTAGTTGTGTGCCATCAACTCGGAATTAACTTATAGTTACCCTAATAGGACTTCCAAACTAGGAGAGGTTTTACAAGTTCAGTTCCCCCATTGAGTTTCCATTGTCAGTTGGGCATTAGATCTCCTGAGTCCTATTCAGTAATTCTGTTCACTACATCACACTGGGTATCTTGCCATTAGCTGTATGCTCAATAGAGTGGAACATAACAAACACTGATGATAGGAATAACTCAATTCCCAAGGTGCCATTTGTTTATGTGCAACATTTTTATCCAGTCATTTTTCGAGGGAAACAGTGATGTCCTCTTCTTCAAGATTATTCTCCCAACAACCCTTTGAGGTAGGATAGACTGAAAGAGATTGATTAGTCCATTTTAGTCCAAGATTCTAATCATTACACAATGATTAATCAACATGACAATTTAATTCTAGTTTGTTGTTTTGACTTCTACCTTCCTATTTATGCCTTTTATGCCATTACAGAGTATTAAGCTTCAACTGAGCTGCCATGTTTTATTATGCAATGCCTTTAAAGTTGCTTATGACTATCCTAGTGGATATCATTTTGGCTAAATTACTATCCTGCTGGTAATATGTGATATGGTGGTGTTAAAATAC